CTCAGGGCTGTTCTCTCAAGGGCAGTCCTCGAGAGAGCTCTCTCAGCCCCACCTACCTTGCAGGGTGTCTGCTGTGGGGAGGGGAAGGGAAAGGAGTTTGTAAGCCGCTCTGAGACTCCGAGTGAAGGGCGGGGTATAAATCCAATCTCTTCTTCTATATAATTTGTATTATATTTATTTCTTTATTAATATTTATTAAATTGGATTTGCTAGGCTGTCCTTCCCTACAAGTAGCATACAATAAAGCACATACAACAAAACAACACACAATAAAGCACATACAATAGTGCTTTGAGTACTTTTGGAGGTTTATTTATACAAAAGATTTCCCCTCATTTTGTTTTGCAACCACCTGGAGATTGGCAACCCTAAACATGGGAGGAGGAAGAGGACAAAAGCTGTCCCATGGGAGCATAAACCGGAAGGCCTGTGAACAAACACGCTTTCCTCCCCACCTTCTCAGTCTGTCAACTCACAATGAATTCCGGCAGCACAGAAGAAGCGTTAAGAGGCTGTGGGGGTTCCAGGGGGGGCTCACAGTACAAGTGGGTCAGGGTGAGGGTCTTGACGGTGCAGAAGCTGTTGCCGATGATGACAGTCACCTCCTCCTTGCTGATGCCGAGGGTCAGGCCGTCTCCCTGCGGGGGCACAGAAAGAGAATCCGCACACGGCAAGCAGTTCAGTGGGGAGCCCCCTTTCAGGCCGGACACCGCGCTGTACAAAAGTCCAAGGATCAGATGACCCTAATTTGTTTGTTTGTTTCATAGAATCGTAGAGTTGGAAGGGACCTCCAGGGTCATCTAGTCCAACCCCCTGCACAATGCAGGACATTCACAAATACCTCCCCCTCCACACCTCCAGTGACCGCTGTCCCACGCCCAGGAGATGACAAAAAAAAACCCCTCCAGGATCTCAAGCCAAACTGGCCTGATGAAAAATTGCTTCCTGACCCCAAAGTGGCGATCGGCATTTCCCTGGGCGTGTAAGAAAGGGGTCACGAGAACTAAGCACTGAGGCAACCCTTCCTCACGATCGGCCTCAGTTCACAGAATCCACATTGCTGTCAGATGGCCATCTAGCCTCTGTTTGAAAACCTCCATGGAGCACTCACTACCTCCCGAGGGAACCTGTTCCACTGAGTGAGGAACCGCTCTGCCAGGAAGTTCGTCCTCATGTTTAGCCGAAGGCTCTTCTGATTTATTTTCAACCCGTTGGTTCTGGTCTGACCTTCTGAGGCGACATTAAACAACTCCACACCATCCCCTCTATGACAAACCTTCAAGTATTTGAAGATGGTGATCCTATCACCTCTCAGTCGTCTCCTCTCCAGGCCAAACATACCCAGCTCCTTCAACCTTTCCTCATAGGATTTGGTCTCCAGACCCGTCACCATCTTCGTTGCCCTCCTCTGGACATGTTCCAGCTTGTCTATATCCTTCTTAAATTTTGGTGCCCAAAACTGAACACGATACTCTAGGTGAGGTCTAACTAGAGCAGAGTAAAGCGATACCATAACTTCTCGTGATCTGGACACTCAGGGGTCATTTCGTGGGAAAAGAGGTGCAGGAGCTCATTAGCATAACTTATTAGCGTAAGCCACACCCCCTGACATCACCGGACGTGTGTCAGAAGGGAACACCCACCACTCAGGCTCCACTGGGCAGTTTTGGATTGCTAGCTATTGGGGGGGGGGGGCTGCAGATCTGTCTTCACAGAGGAGGGAGAGCTTGTACCTGAACAAAACTTGGTCTTAAAGGTGCCGCTGCCCTCTTTTGGATTGCTAGCTATTGGGGGGGACGTGCAGATCTGCCCTCACAGAGGAGGGAGAGCTTGCACCTGAAGGCAGGCCGGGTGGTGGGCTCTGCAAGTTACCTGGCTGCTTATTGTTCCCTCCGAGAACAATCCTCAGCTCTGATTGGCCTGTTGTCTGAAGCAGCCAATCAGAACGTACATTTTACGATACCAGAGCTTCTATGTGGCTCTGACTGAAGCTCAGCATGACAGTTCAGTCACAACACACAACAGACTTCTCTCAGGCCCACAGTGGAACTGGCTGTCTTCTGCTTCTTCTCCCAGTTCTGCTGCTGCGTCATCGTAGGTTTGCAGCTGACAGATACACACCTGAACAGCAGACTTGAGATTGCAACAGCACAGAAATTCTGATGCAATAATTCAGAGCAAGAGGGGCCAGTTATCAGACCCTGTTAAATAAGCAAAATGTTGCAAGAGTGCTGATGTCTTAAGCATGTTTTTATTTTAAGTAAAAAAAACTACCGTTGTGTCTGTGTCCTTTATAAAGTTTATCTCTCCTCTACCTGGCATTACCTTTTATGACACATGCGGCCCGGCCAGACAAGGGCTCATTGATGTCGGATCCGGCCCTCGTAACAAATGAGTTCGACTCCCCTTGAGTTAGGGTTTCTTATTTTGCTGGTTTGCCCACCTTGACTGTGCTCATTTCCCCTACAGGTTACTGAATTACAGCTGCTGTTCAACCTCTTTTAATAAAACTAGCTTGTTACTCTGCCCGGGTCCTCATGCCCTATTCAGTCACTTATAAGGGGAAACCTGCCAGAAAGGGAGTGTGTGAAGGGGTCGGGTGGGTGCTCGGGGCCCTCCCGAGGAGACCTGTAACCAGAGTAGTGGCGGCCATTAGAGAACCTTTCTAGCCACTGACCGCAACATCCCTTAGGACAGTCAGGTTTCTGGGCCCCGTCCTTTGACCCACCTCTATGTCCAAGACGTTGCCAGGCTTAAGGCTGAAGGGGCGGTTGCCGGAGTCCCGTCCGGGCCAGCGCAGCTGGGGATTGGGCTCGTAGGCGAAATCTTGGCCCCCGCTGGCGTTGCTGAAGGGGACATGGAGCCCGTCCAGTTCAAAACGGACGAGGCGCAGGCGGGCGCTGGGCGGCACAGCAGGCGACGGGCAGAGGAGGAGGGTGGAAGAGTTGGCACAGCAAGGTTCCCAGCACTGAGAGGACAGACAGGAGATATATATATTGGAAAACAGAGAGAGGAGGAGATTGGATTTCTACCCCGCCCTTCACTCCCCGAAGGAGTCTCAGAGCGGCTTGCAATCCCCCTTCCCTGCCCCTCCCCACAACAGACGCCCTGTGAGGGAGGTGGGGCTGAGAGCGCTCGTCTGAGAACTGCCCTTGAGAGACCAGCTCTGAGAGAACTTGTGACTGACCCAAGGTCACCCAGCAGCTGCATGTGGAGGAGTGGGGAATCAAACCTGGCTCTCCCAGATTAGAGTCCACGCTCCTAAACCACTAGACCAAACTGGCTCTCAGGAAACACTGCCTTCCTTCCTCCCCGTGCTCACCTCCAGCAGGTCTCCCACCTCCACACAAGGGCGTGGGGAAGCTGGGTTCAGCAAGGCCTGAGGGCCCGGTGAGAGATCGCAGGCTCTCTTCTTCCGGCTGAGGGCATCCGCCGCTTCCTCCTCGGGCTCCAGGACTGCTTTGATGAGCGGCTGCTGCACCACGTCCAAGTCGGTCCCCTCCACGTAGATGATCCGTCCGCCCCTGAGGAAACCCAGCAGCGGAGACACTCAAACATGGCGAAGGCAAAGCAGGGATGCCTGTGGAACAGGCCTTCTCCCCACCTCAGCCAGACGCGGACGCTGTGGCGAGGTACTCACGACCATACAGGCTGATGGGCATGCGAATTGCTGATCTTGGTTTGTGGCACCTTCCACTGCATCTCCTCTTCCTACCACTTGTCCTTCCTCACACCCCACACTGAGGGACAAGCCAGGAGACAGGCTGCGAGCCATAAGAACGTAGGAAGAGTCCTGCTGGGTCAGACCAGGGAGGGTCCCTCTAGTCCAGCCTCCCGTCTCACACAAGGGCCAGCCAGTCCCTCTGGAGGGCCAGCAACAGGGCAGAGAGGCCGAGACCTTCCCCTGAGAAGGACACCAGATGAGCCCTGCTGGGTCAGACCGGGAAGGGTCCCTCTAGTACAGCCTCCCGTCTCACACAGGGGCCAGCCAGTTCCTCTGGAGGGCCACCAACAGGGCAGAGAGGCCGAGGCCTTCCCCTGATAAGAGCATCAGAAGAGCCCTGCTGGGTCAGACCAGGGAGGGTCCCTCCAGTCCAGCCTCCCGTCTCACACAGGGGCCAGCCAGTTCCTCTGGAGGGCCACCAACAGGGCAGAGAGGCCGAGGCCTTCCCCTGATAAGAGCATCAGAAGAGCCCTGCTGGGTCAGACCAGGGAGGGTCCCTCCAGTCCAGCCTCCCGTCTCACACAGGGGCCAGCCAGTCCCTCTGGAGGGCCAGCAACAGGGCAGAGAGCCCGAGGCCTTCCCCTGATAAGGACACCAGAAGAGCCCTGCTGGGTCAGACCAGTGGCCCATCTAGTCCAGCACCATGTCTCACACACTTTGTGAGCCACTGGCATTAAAGTTCTGAGCGAGCGATTTGGCTACTGCATAAATCAGTTTGCTCTGGAGCCACCCTTCCTGAGCTAAGACAAAAAAAATGTGTGAGCCGGAGACTAAAAAACTGAGCTAGCTCACACTAACTCAGCTTAGAGGGAACACTGGCTGTGACTCCTTTCACCGGGCAATAATCCCATCCATACACTCTTCCCCCCCTCCGGTGACCCTCTTACCCATAAGAGCAAGAGGCCAGGACCACCTTAAAAGACTAACAAAACGTGTGGCAGGGAAGGCGCTTTCGTGAGTTGCTGCTCGCTTCAGATACCTCGAGAAGTGAGCAAAGACCCACAAAAGCTCCTCCCCTGCCACAAATCTGGTTAGTCTTTCAGGTGCTCCTGGACTCTTGCTCTTTTCTACGGCTCCAGACAAACTCACACGGCCACCTTTCTTGATCTCTCTTACCCGTGGAAACTAGCGGCTGGGAACGCCCCGGTGAGTTGGGGATTCTGCACGTAACGGAAGGTCTTTTGCAGTCGGCGCAGCACTCTGCCATACTGGACCTTGACCCGCGCCTCCCGGGGCCTGGCGCTGGGACTGGTCCGGCAGACGATCGCCTGCGGCTCCACGGGCTCCTCGCTGCAGGGACAGAAACAGACAAAAAACTAAGCGGCTGCCTGAAGAAGGCCCGTGTGAAAAAGGAACAGGGTCAGAACATAGCAGGATTTTAATGACACCACAGATTTTCTTGGCTGAATATGCAATGCTTTTCTGTAGGTCTGAGGCCTCGTATCGAAGTCCTCCGCTGGTCAAATCGGACTGCATTAGGTTTTTCTTTAATCTCTAAGAAGGGTGTCGAACTCATTTGTTACGAGGGCCGGATCTGACATAAATGAGACCTTGTTGGGCTGGGCCATGTGTGTCATAAAACGTAATGCCAGGTAGTGGAGATATAAACTTTACAAAGGACACAAAGGGGTCTTTTAAAACTTAAAATAAAAACATGCTTAAAACATCAGCACTCTTGCAATATTTTGTTTATTTAACAGGGTCTGATAACTGACACCTCTGGCTCTGAATTATCGCATCAAAATGACTGTGCTTGAGTATGCTGTTCAGGTAAGCACTGAAATGGAAATTTATTTGTATTTAGCCATAGGCCATTACAAACCAAATGTAACAACAGAGAGGAATGCTATAAATATGAATAATGGTATAAAATTGAGTAAAATTTAAGATATAATAAAAACATAAAACCGAAGTTATAAGCAATTAACAAAATTAAAAGGTATCCACTAAGATCAATATTAATTAGTTCCATAAGAACAGCGCTGGCCCGTATTTTCTTTGCAGCCAAGGCATATAAAGACATTCTATAGGATATATTGGCATTGGAATCAGCTAACCAGAATACAATCTTCTCAGAGTCTGAATAGAAAGTTAAGTCTGATAAAATACCAGAGAGAAATTTTAACCTAGGTTGGGTATACACTGAGCATTCAAGAATATAATGGGGAAGATCCTCAATAACAGAAGAGCCATAAATACAAAAGCACTGTTCCTTAGTTGTTCTACTAATAGCGGTCAGCTAATACGGCCGTTGGCATTGATTCAAAACGCAAAGATGTGAAAGCTGCTCTGAAGTTATGATTATCTATACTAACTAGGTAGGGGGATCTAAAATGGTCATTCTTAAATGACTATACCACAAAGTATAGATAGGGGCTCTGGGGGGGGGGCAACAGTGGGAGGGCTTCTGGTGTCCTGGCCCCACTGCTGGACCTCCTGAGGGCACCTGGTATTTCTGGCCACTGTGTGACACAGAGTGTTGGACTGGATGGGCCTTTGGCCTGATCCAACATTGGCGTCGCTTATGTTCTTAAGATTTGAACCAGGGAGCAGACTGTGAGCAAACCTACGATGACGCAGCAGCAGCAGAACTGGAAGAAAAAGCAGAAAACAGCCAGTTCCACTGCAGGCCTGAGAGAAGCCCTCCGGGGGCCTGATCCAGCCCCCGGGCCGCATGTTTGACACCCCTGCTCTAATAGGTAATTCAAACACTTACAGAAATACTAGATTTATTGCCTTTGGATTTCTTAAATTTGACCTTCTCATCTTGCTTTAAAAGGTTCGGTAAAAAGATAATAAAAAGATGATGGGCGCATAGCAAATGTGTTTTCTGTTGCCCGCGATCGATTACCTCATCCACAGTTAAGAACCAATCAGCTAGACCAGGGGTGTCAAACATGCAGCCCGGGGGCCGGATCAGGCCCCCGGAGGGCTTCCATCAGGCCCACAATGGAACTGGCTGTCTTCTGCTTCTTCTTCCAGTTCTGCTGCTGCTGCTGCGTCATCGTAGGTTTGCAGCTTACAGATACACACCTGAACAGCGTAGTCAAGATTGCAACAGCACAGACAGTTTGACGCAATCATTCAGAGCAAGAGGTGTCAGTTATCAGACACTGTTAAATAAACAAAACATTGCAAGAGTGCTAATGTTTTAAGCATTTTTTATTTTAAGTAAAAAAAACCCTTTTTTATTTGTGTCCTTTATAAAGTTTATATCTCCGCTACCTGGCATTACATTTTATGACACACGTGGCCCGGCCCAACGAGGTCTCATTCATGCCAGATCCGGCCCTTGTAAGAAATGACTTCGATGCCCCTGAGCTAGACAATGGTTGCATCTTTAAATCAGAAAAGGTTTAGCTCGAGATAAGGTTGACCCGTCCTCGATAGCCTGCTCTCGTCAGATCTCAGAAGCTAAGCAGGGTCCGCCCTGGCTAGTATTCGGATGGGAGGTCCAATGTTGCTATGCGGAGGCAGGCGATGACGAACCACCACCTCTGAATGTCTCTTGCTGTGAAAACCCTGTGGGGTGGCCGTAAACCAGCAGAGACCGGACAGCAGGAAAAAGAGAGGATAAGACTGCTCTGTCTAAGCGCACTGATGTCATCAGCAGGTCCGATTCCTAAGGACGGAACTCACAATCCGTTCTTTCAAAATTCAGGTTTGCAAGACAGCCGATAAAGCCCTAAACGGCTTGGGAATCGGGGCAGCTGAAGGACCATCTTCCCCCATACGTCCGTGCCTGGGAATTAAGATCACGGGGAGAGGCCCTCTTGACTGTTTCATCCATCAAAGATGCCCGCTTGGTAGACAGATGAGGGAAGGCCTTTTCAGTGGCAGCCCTGTGTTTCTGAAACCATTGCCTGGCCCCCCCTCACTTTCGATCTTTAGGGGGCCGTTGGAAGAGTTTCATGTAGGACAGTGTTTGGTTAAACAAAGTTTGAGTTTAGTGGCACCTTTGAGACCAACGAAGTTTTATTCAGGGTATGAGCTTTCGTGTGCAAGGCACACGTCTTCAGTTCACAAGCAGTCCGGAGTTCTGATTTTTAATTTGGGGTTTTATGTTTTGGGTGTACTTTTGACATTTTATTTATGGTGTTAGCTGCTGTGAGCTCAGTAAGGAAGGAGAAGGAGGAGGAGGAGGAGGAGGAGAAGAAAGAAGAAGAAGAAAGAGGAAGAAGAAGAGGAGGAGAGGAGGAGGCGGAGGAGGAGAAGAGGAGAAGAAGAGGAAGAAGAAGAAAGAGGAAAAAGAAGAGGAGGAGGAGGAGGAGAAGAGGAGGAGGAGAAGAAGAAGAAGAAAGAGGAAGAAGAGGAGGAGGAGTAGATTGGATTTATACCCCACCCTTCACTACCCGAATGAGTCTCAGAGCAGCTTACAATCCTCTTCTCTTCCCCTCCCCACAACAGACCCTGTGAGGTAGGTGGGGCTGAGAGAGCTCTTTCAAGAACTACTCATGAGAGAACAGCTCTGAAAGAACTTGTGACTGACCCAAGGTCACACCAGCACCTGCATGTGGAGGAGTGGGGAATCAAACCCAGTTCTCCCAGGTTAGAGTCTGTTTTGTTTAGAAGATCGATCCTGGAGATATCTGGGACCAAATCGTTTAAAACATTACTTCTTAGAGGACTCATTAGTCCACATTCTCCATTTGGATACGAAAGCGTAATATATATCTCGTTAAACGAGCAGCAGGAGAGGAAGGAAGGAGCCGTCACTCACAGGAGGCAAGGGAGGTCCCCGACATAGGCAGCAATCTCCGTGCCCGTCAGAAGCTCTTCTCCAGCGATGGTCAGCCGAGTACCTCCAGCCATGGGGCCGAAATGGGGGTGCAAGTCAAGAAGCCTGGGGTCCTGAGGAGAGAAGTACCTTTTAACAGCATTGAGAGTGGTCGCAGGAGCCGGACTTGGCCCTGTCTCATTCCCAGTGACATCGTGTGGGAAGTCTGCAGTATTGTTCCACCACAGGGGACAGAACATGTCTACCTCCTCTCTCCCCATCTCAAAGCAGAGTCTCTCCCTAGACCCCCTGTGACGGCACCTCTCTCTCATTTTGTGTGGTTAGGCATGATGTAGCTTTACATTTCTTGTTGTTTCTTTCTCTCACTCAAAAGTATCTATCGCTGCCACCAGGAATTTAATCCCAGTCTTCAATTAACCTCTCCCACAGTAATGTACCCGAGCTCTAAGGCTCCTTCGTTGGACTGTTTGGTTCTGAGGGTGAGACTCGGGGGTTAATAATAAAGAAGATTTAAAACTTTATTGGCAAAAGAAGTGTGCTTGTTACAGGATGGTTTGTTAAGTTGCTTGGTAGAATCTTTCCCTTTTTATTCAGGTCTCTGTCAGCTTTCCCCCCTCACACTCCTATTTGGAAAGACTGTTTCTCTGACTTTGTAGACTGACCTCAACTGACAACTACTGACTGAACACTTCAGACTTCAGACTCAAACTGAAACCTCGGCTTTCTCTCTCTCCACACCCACCCACCTCCTAGCTCCGCCCCACCCCACCTCCTAGTTCTGCCCCACACCACCTCCTAGCTCTGCCCCCACACCCACCTCCTAGCTCTGCCCACACACACCTCCTAGCTCCGCCCCCATTCCCACCTCCTAGCTCCGCCCACACCCACCTCCTAGCTCCGCCCCACGCCCACCTCTAGCTCCGCCTCCACGCCCACCTCCTAGCTCCACCCACACCCACATCCTAGCTCCACCCACACCCTAGCTCCGCCCCCACGCCCACCTCCTAGACCTCCTAGCTCCGCCCCACGCCCCCCCTCTAGCTCCGCCCACACCCACTTCCTAGCTCCGCCCCCACACCCACCTCCTAGCTCCGCCCCCACACCCACCTCCTAGCTCCGCCCCCACCTCCTAGCTCCGCCCCCACACCCACCTCCTAGCTCTGCCCCCACACTCTCCGTCACCAACCAATCACCTCACTCACTCATCTCCCTCTTTCACCCCCTTCTTGTTCTTCTGACACTTCCCAACCATTTTAAAGGAACATACACATAACTTGAAATCATTACACCCCCTTTTTGGGGTCACCCACTGTCAGGCACCGACCTGGTAGCTGAAGTTCCTGTCAGAAACGCCGGGTGGGCGGTCCCCCACAGTGACCTCAACGGGGCCGGATAACCCTCGTTTTCCTGGGGGTACATCACAAACAATCCTGTGGGGAGTAGTACAAGGACTTGGTTGCGGGAAAGACTGAACGGAGTCTGAAAGGGGTTGAGGCCAGTGTTCCTTCTAAGCTGAGTTAGTGTGAGCTAGCTCACAGTTTTTTAGACTCCAGCTCACAATTTTTTGTCTTCGCTCAGGAAGGATGGCTCCGGAGCAAACTAATTTATGCAGTAGCCAAATCGCTCGTTCACAACTTGAATGCCAGTAGGTCGTAAAATAGATTTTTTGCTCACACAACTCCACAGCTTAGAGGGAGCATTGGTTAAGGCAATGGAGATCGGCAACGCAATGCCTTGAGGCTTCCATAAAGAATTCCAAGACTCCTTTGAGAATACATGGTCAAGGTTTTACATGTGTTCTCAAAGGAATCTTTGAATTCTTTACGAAAGCCCCAAGGCGTTACGTTGCCGAACTTGAGAGGACAAAATGAAGGAAATACATGGTCAAGGTTTTACAAATGGATGGAAGAGTACTCGAAATAAACCATGTGGACATACAACCCAATCAGAAGAAGATATGAACTATATGCAGGGGTCATTTCCTGCAGGAGCGCACAGGAGCAGAGCTCCAGCAGTAAAGAGGCCAGGGGGCGGGCACATGCAACAAGCCCCGCCCCCTGCTCCCAGCAGCCCTCAGTCAGAGCAAGAAGCAGCCAGGTAAGCTGCAGAGCCCCCCCCCCAAGCTCCCCCAGTCCAAAACAGTCAAGTGGCACCTGTAAGAACAAGTTTTATTCAGGCACAAGCTCTCCCTCCTCTGTGAGGGCAGATCTGCGCGTCCCCCCCCCATAGCTAGGAATCCAAAATAGTCCAGTGGAGCCTGAGCGGTGGGTGTTGCCTTCTGACACACTTCCGGTGTTGTCAGGGGGTGTGGCATATGCAAATAAGTTATGCTAATGTGTTATGCTAATGAGCTCCTGCACTTCTTTTTCCACGAAATGACCCCTGACTATATGGTTCACTATAAGCAAAGATTTGTGTATGGAAATATGTGGTGGAAAAAATAAGAATATAATTGGTTAATGTATGAGGTAATCTAATAGATGGGACACTGATGTAAATGGTACCCCCGAATTTACGTATGTTTTGGGGGGGGGGTTGTTTGTTTTTTGTTATAAAAATTGTTAAAAATAAAATAAAATAAAGAATTCAAAGATTCCAGTCCTCATGATGGCCAAGGGAAGGAAGAGATTGACACGAAAAGCCTCGAGGACAAAAACATGATAAAGGATCGGAAATATACTACAGTAGTTGATTGATTGCAGGTTTTTGGTTTGTATTAGGGAGTGTGCTGGACTTGAACCTGAGAAACCCCAGCGGGACCGAGATCAGCCAACCATCCAAAGGACAGCCTTGGACCAAGGTTGTTTCAGTGGCGCATATAAAAAGCAGAAACTCTTAACCGTCATGCAAGAATACTCAGAGAAGCACCCAAAAATAGGGATTGGTTTGAAACATGTATCTTGCATAGGACATTTAGTGATGTGGCCCAGTTGGGCATCTGTAATGAGAAGGAGGAGGAGATTAGATGTATCCCCCGCCCTTCACTACCCAAAGGAGTCTCAGAGCGGCTTACAATCTCCTTTCCCTTCCCCTCCCCACAACAGACACCCTCTAAGCTGTGGAGCCTTGTGAGCAAAAATTCTGCTTTGTGAGCCACTGGCATTAAAGTTGTGAGCGAGCGATTTGGCTGCTGCATAAGTTAGTTTGCCCTGGAGCCATCCTTCCTGAGCTAAGACAAAAATGTGTGAGCCGGAGGCTAAAAACCTGTGAACTAGCTCACACTAACTCAGCTTAGAGGGAACACTGCCTCCAAGGTAGGTGGGACTGAGAGAGCTCTTTGGAGGACTGCTCCTGAGAGAACAGCTCTGGAAGAACTTATGACTGACCCAAGGTCACCCCAGCAGCTGCATGTGGAGGAGTGGGGAATCAAACCTCCGCGGTTCTAATCAGTGTTCCCTCTGAGTTAGTGTGAGCTAGCTCACAGTTTTTTAGCCTCCAGCTCACAGATTTTTTGTCTTAGCTCAGGAAGGATGGCTAATTTATTCAGCAGCATAATCGCTCGCTCACAGCTTTACTGCCAGTAGCTCACAAAGTAGAATTTTCGCTCGCAAGACTCCACAGCTTAGAGGGAGCACTGCTCCTAACCACTACGCCAAACTAGCTCAATAAATAGGATATGAAAATCAATGCAAGCAAGATATGCATCTTTACTGTAGCCCTTTCAGATGGGGTTAGGGTTGCCAACTTCCAGGTAGTAGCTGGAGATCTCCCGCTATTACAATTGATCTCCAGGCGACAGTTTCCCTGGAGCAAATGGCTGCCTTGAAAGGTGGACTGTATGGCACTATACCCCATTGAAGTCCTTCCCGTCCCCAAAACCCACCCTACTCAGGCTCCACCCCCAAAGTTGGGGTGATCTCTGGATCCTTGAACAAGGCAGTCCAGTTTTGTTGGGAGCCAGTTTGGTGTGGTGGTTAGGTGCGCGGACTCTAATCTGGGAGAACCGGGTTTGGTTCCCCCACTCCTCCACTTGTACCTGGCTGGATGACCTTGGGCAAGCCGTAGTTCTGATACGAGCTGTTCCTGAAAAAGAGCGATTTCTGTCAGAGCTCTCTCAGCCCCGCCTACCTCACAGGGTGTCTGTGGTGGGGAGGGGAAGGGAAAGGAGTTTGTCAGCCGCTCTGAGGCTCCTTTGGGTAGTGAAGGGCGGGGTATAAATCCAATCTCCTCCTCTTCTTCTTTTACCTCACAGGGTGTCTGTGGTGTGGGGAGGGGAAGGGAAAGGAGTTTGTCAGCCGCTCTGAGACTCCCTTGGGTAGTGAAGGGCAGGGTATAAATCTAATCTCTTCTTCGTCTTCTTTTACCTCACAGGGTGCCTGTTGTGGGGAGGGGAAGGGAAAGGAGTTTGTCAGCCGCTCTGAGGCTCCTTTGGGTAGTGAAGGGCAGGGTATAAATCCAATCTCCTCCTCTTCTTCTTTTACCTCACAGGGTGTCTGTGGTGGGGAGGGGAAGGGAAAGGAGTTTGTCAGCCGCTCTGAGGCTCCTTTGGGTAGTGAAGGGCAGAGTACAAATCTAATCTCCTCTTCTTCTTTTAAATAATTTCCTGTATGGGTGTGGTGGGGGAGCCGTTTTATTAATTTATTGGCTCATTTTATTTATACCCCCACCTTTTTCCTCAACAGGAACCCGAAGAGATGAACGTCGGTCTCCGCCCCTCCATTTTATCCTCACAACAACCCTGTGAGGTGAGTTAGGCTGAGAATCTGTGACTGGTCCAAGGTCACCCAGCAAGCCTCCATGGCAGAGCAGGGATTCGAACCCAGGCCTCCCTGACACCTGAATCACCATACCACACTGGCCAGTCCACCCGGCCAGCTTACCGAGTAGAGATGAGATACAGGTCCGGATCAGGGACACACGGCAAGTTGGCCACCGTCACGGTGTCGGCCACGTCCTCGAAGCGATGGCCCAGGTTGGACCCCGTCACCGTGAGAGACATGCCGCCCTCCAAGGGTCCGGTGAGGGGACTGATCTAGAAAAGAGGAACATGGCGTCAAGAGGCAGCAAACTGGAGCCTCCCTCTCCGGATTTTAATAAAAAGACACAGAGGACGGGCAGCTGGGCCCTGCAACGGAGCGCTGGAAAGCGTCAGCGTGTCTCACATCGAACACGAGACTTTGGGGAGGTGCTACACGAACATCGGGGAGTAGCCAAGGGCTTAGTGCTCACCGAGGTTATCACCCTCTCGGGTGATATCTGCGTCTAAACGTAAAGTTGGAAAATGTCCAGGATTGGCAGACTGGAAGAACCAATTAACCAAATATGCGACAATGGCAAAATTAACATCTTATTTGTATATGGAATGTATTTTTGGACTACACAGCTCAAAAGTAAGGTTGAAGGGTCAAAGTGGAGCCTCATCAAGATGTTTGTGATGATGAAATGTTAGATATGAAGATCTACGCTGTCCCCAATACTCTACCATGCGCAGCTATTTGATCAGTCCCCACTTACCTTCCACAAGGAATTCGACTGACAATGATCTTAAAATCCTATCGTCTGATAAATTCTCGGCAATTACCCTGTCTGTTGCTGAATTCTCAGCTTATGTTTGGAAGCTAAGGGTAAGGGCGCATAAGTCTTAATCCCCCTTGTGCTCATTTGGATTGTTATATTTTTAACTGAGTTCACTATTCTTGAGAAGCTTAAAAATGATCCCCTGTTGGTGTAACTTGATGTAACTTGTTATGATCTATTAATTCGTTCTATTAATTTATTTGTTCCTCAGGGCTTTTTTTGTAGAAAAAGCCCAGCAGGAACTCATTAGCATAATAGGCCACACCCTGACACCTCCGCTCATTAGCATATTAGGTCGCAGCCCCCTGTTGCCAGAAGTGTGGTCATCCAGCCACACCCACCTTTTGCTTTTTATTCTGTTTACCTTGTTTGCTGTCAAAACCCAGGGCCTTTTTTTGTAGCAGGGACTCCTTTGCATGTTAGGCCACACACGCCTACTGTAGCCAATCCTAATGAGTTCCTGCTGTTGGGTGTGGCCTATTATGCTAATGAGTTCCTGCTGTGTGTGGCCAACTTAGGAGCCAGCCAGAACTCTGTTCCTGTGCGTTCCTGCCCAAAAATAGCCCTGGCCTTCCTTATTGTTCCTGTGTTATGCCAATAAATGTCTATGTATGTAGATATGAAGGAAGAAAAGACAGAATATAGATTTTTAAAAAGTGAAAATTTGGAGTATATAAAAGTAATTTTTATGCAATAAAGTATGTTCTGTTCGACATTTGTAATAAATAGAAAAAGTACAGTTAGTTATAATAGAGAAGATCGTTGATCACAAATGATGGTCTATTTGCTGTTGTAGATTTCCCAGGCTGTGTGGCCATGGTCTTGGCATTGTAGTGCCTGATATTTCGCCAGTAGCTGTGACTGGCATCCTCAGAGGTATAACACAGAAAGATGGAGTACTCTCTGTGTCAAGGTAGTCTCTGTGTCACCTTGACTTCAGGTCCTACAGTGCCAAGACCAGGGCAATACAGCCCGGAAAACCTACAACAGCTAATGAACTCCAGCTGTGAAAGCCTTCGACAACATATCGATGGTCTATTTCTTCATCCATGCTTATGTTTTTGTTCATGACAGAGGGTTGCTTATGTGTAAATGCAGTCATGTATTGTGTATATATTTTGTTTTTCTCTGTTAGTCAAAATTACAATTAAAAAAAAAAAGATGTTACCCTTTTCAGACTGAAGGTAAAGGATTCATGTGATTAGGGCTATCGCATGGCCTGATTATCTGGATTTTATCCAACTGAGCGATTAGCTGGTCTGTTCTCAGTTGTAATTAAAAAAAACAACAACAACAACTCCAACAACTAAGTCTCCAGCGCCGACTAAATTCAGAAACAGGAAGTAAAACAGAAAGGCCCAGTCATTGAGTCAGCAACAATCCCCACTCCTGTTTACTACAGTTCTAGTGCTGGGTCCAGGTTTTGGAGGGCCTTGAGCAGACAGTGCCTAGGGCAGTGATGGGGAACCTATGGCACGGGGGCCAGAGGCGGCACTCAGAGCCCTCTCTGTGGGCACGCGTGCCATCGCCCCAGCCAGGCCCAGACCATCATTAAAGTGTAAAATTCTCTGCCAAATAATTTCAAGTAAATGAAAGCCTTTGGGATTGCTTTCCTTGCTTTGTTTGGATCATGTTAAGTTAATGTATGAGTTGTTTTTCCTAAAGTAAAACCTCAGTATTCAGGTTAAATGGCCGCGTTGGCACTTTGCGATCAATAAGTGGGTTTTGGGTCGCAGCTTGGGCACTCGGTCTCTAAAAGGTTCGCCACCACTGGCCTAGGGGGTCCCTTCTGCCCACCACCACCACCCCTAGTGCCCCCCCTCATATCTCCCCTTTCCTTCCACCACCCCACGTCCTCTCCCCACCTGACTGTGCCTCCTTCCCCCCCCCCACACACACACTGCCTGTGCTCACGGGCTCCTGCACCACATCCGTGACCTGGCTGGTGCGTGGAGGCGGTAGTGCGGCAGCGTGGCTTTCAGGAGTGACGTTGTTCTGTGCCACCGTTGTGCACTTCCCCATCCATGCTGGGAAGCTGGTAGCATGGGCAGTGGAACGAATGCAAGTGAATAAGTAGGGAAGCGCCCATGGAGGCGTGACACGTGAGAGGCATGGGGGGGGGGGTCCCGGCAGCTGCCCCACCTCAGGGTATGCTAACATCGGCCCCACCCCTATTGCTCTAGCCCAGTATTTACTGCAAGGGATTCGCAGATCCATAAGTGTACTAAGCACTGAACTTTTGATCTTTTTGTCATTATGTATATTTGCAATCAGCAGATATTGATAGTATTACTACTATCATGCGGGGGGGGGTGGAATCCGCCAAATTTCCTAATGTTTAAATGACATAAGAGGAGCCCTGCTGGATCAGACCAATAGTCCCATCGAATCCAGCATCCCGCCTCACACAGGGGCCAACCAGTTCCTCTGGAGGGCCAGCAACAGGGCAGAGAGGCCGAGGCCTTCATCAGAACATCAGAAGAGCCCTGCTGGATCAGACCAGTGAGGGTCCATCTAGTCCACCATCTTGCCTCACAAAATGGCCAACCAGTTCCTCTGGAGGGCCAACAACAGGGCATAGAAACCGAGGCCGTCATCAGAACATCAGAAGAGCCCTGCTGGATCAGACCAATAGTACCATCGAGTCAAGCATCCCATCTCACACGGGGGCCAACCAGTTCCTCTGGAGGGCCAACAACAGGGCAGAGAGCCCAAGGCCTTGCCCTGATCAGAACATCAGAAGAGCCCTGCTGGGTCAGACCAGGGAGGGTCCCTCTAGTCCAGCCTCCCGTCTCACACAGGGGCCAGCGAGTTCCTCTGGAGGGACACCAACAGGGCAGAGAGGCCGAGGCCTTCATAAAAACATCAGAAGAGCCCTGCTAGATCAGACCAGTGAGGGTCCCTCTAGTCCAGCATCCTGCCTCACACAGGGGCCAGCCAATTCCTCTGGAGGGCCAGCAACAGGGCAGAGAGGCCGAGGCCTTCATAAAAACATCAGAAGAGCCCTGCTAGATCAGATCAGCGGTCCCATTTAGTCCAGCATCCCATCTCACACAGCAGCCAACCAGTTTCCCCAGAACAGCTGGGTGTAGAGGCCGAGGCCTTCCCCAAACGTTGCCTCTTGTCTCTGGGATTTAGAGGCCTAGTGCCTCTGAACATGGAGGTTTCCCTAAGTCACCATGGCTAGTAGCCACTGATGGACCTATCCTCCACGAATCTAATAATAAGGCTTCCTCGAACCCCAAAAGGTTAGGAGCCACCATTGTATCCAACGAGGGGAGTCAGAATGACAACCAGTGTGTTTTGCCACAGTGGGTCCCAACAAGTTTTCTGCTGACCGAGAAGGAAAGGTGTGAGCAAATCCTGTCCAGAGCACATCACTGGGAGAGAGAGACAGACTCCCTCCCTACCTCCAATCCTTCCCCAAATTTTCACAGTTGTTGCCAGGAACAGACACAAAAGGCCACTGGCCACCACTGCAAGCAGCAAGGTGCTTGATCTGTGTAATTAGCTTACAATTTAGACAATGGGAATATCAGGCAGCCTAAATTTGGGGAACTGAAACATGGCAATCTTATGCATGACCAAAGGAGGGAAGGCAGCATGGTATAGCCCGATCTTGGAAGATCTTGGAAGCCAAGCAGGGCGGGTACTTGGATGGGGAACCACCAAGGAAGGCTCTGCAGAGGAAGGCGATGGCCAACCACCTCTGCTTCTCACTTGCCTGGAAAGCCCCTTGCTGGGATCACCATCATTTGGAAGCTAAGTAGGCAGTACTTGGATGGGGGACCACCAAGGAAGGCTCTGCAGAAGAAGGCAATGGCCAACCGCCTCTGCTTCTCACTTGCCTGGAAAACCCCTTGCTGGTGTCACTGTAAGGCTGCTGCAATTTGACATCACTTACACACGTAGATACATGTGTCTGAACAGACTTTCCTACATGCTGCAAAAATTAGTTGCTGAGCAGAAGGGTTCCAACCTCGCTCTCTGTCCCCGACATCTAGTTTCTGTTGCAGAGGGAATTTTTATAAGAGTATAAGAGAAGCCATGTTGGATCAGGCCACCGGCCCATCCAGTCCAACACTCTGCGTCGCACAGTAGCCAAAACCCAGGGGCCATCAGGAGGTCCACCAGCAGGGCCAAAACTCCAGAAGCCCTCCCACGGTTGCCCCCCCAAGCACCAAGAGGACGGAGCATCACTGCCACAGACATAAGAACATAAGAGAAGCCATGTTGGATCGGGCCAATGGCCAAAACCCAGGGGCCATCAGGAGGTCCACCAGCAGGGCCAAAACTCCAAAGCACCAAGAAGACAGAGCATCACTGCCCCAGATATAAGAGAAGCCATGTTGAATCAGGCCAGTGGCCCATTAAGTCTAATACTCTGTGTCACACAGTGGCCAAAACCCAGGGGCCATCAGGAGGTCCACCAGCAGGGCCAAAACTCCAGAAGCCCTCCCACGGTTGCCCCCCCAAGCACCAAGAGGACGGAGCATCACTGCCACAGACATAAGAACATAAGAGAAGCCATGTTGGATCGGGCCAATGGCCCATCCAGTCCAACACTCTGTGTCACACAGTGGGCAAAACCCAGGGGCCATTGGGAGGTCCACCAGCAGGGCCAGACCTCCAGAAGCCCTCCCACTGTTGCCTCCCCAAGCACCAAGAACACAGAGCATCACTGCCCCAGACATAAGAACGTCTCCCAAGGCAAGTACCTAGACCTCCCCTGCTATCAGACCAGCAGACTCAACGGCATCAATTCTTACCGAGTGGATGACGGGCGATGGGCAAGTGGGCACGCCGGCCTTGGTGGGACACTGTTCCTTGTAGACGCAGCTGGGCGCCCCTCCCAGAATGCACCAGACACACTGGAAGTAGCTGGGGGCGGCCTTGCAGCGGCTGCAGTCCGAACGGCCAGCGGAACAGTTATACAGCTTCACTGGGCAGGGGGAGGAAGAAAGGACAGAGGTGAATACTGGACTCCCCCACACGTTCCCCCAGAGAGCACTACAGTCAAGGTCACAAAACCGTTTGGCCCTCCCTGGTCCTAAGGTAGCCAGACTGGGAACATTGCTCCTGAGTCCCCGACTTGGCTTTTTGGACTTTGCACTGTCTTCTTGGCCCCTGACCTTGGCCTGCTCTGGACTCCCTTTATCTGGCACCCCAGCCTGTGACATGTACGTGCACACACACACGCACGCACACACATGAAGAGAGCACGAAGATGATCACCACACCCCAAATCCACCCACCCATCCATCCTCCACCGCACCCCGCTTACCATGCAGGTCTCCGCGGCTATCAAGGCGCTGGTCATCCCCCACCAGGACATAGAGGGGCACGTGGAGCTCTGGGGCAGGCTGGGTGTAACTGTATGTCCGGGGCAGGCACTGCACACGATGCGAGGTTCCCCTGTCCCCTTCCTCCAGCGACGCTGGGACCACGACTGAGGTCCCCTCCACCTCCAGCACGCAGGAGAGCTTCTCTGAATCCTAGAGATGCCAAAGGGCAAAGTGAGACTGGACCCTGGTGTAGTGGTTAGGAGTGCGGACTCTAATCTGGGAGAGCCGGGTTTGATTCCCCCATTCCTCCACATGCAGCTGCTGGTGCGACCTTGGGTCAGTCGCAAGTTATCCCAGAACTGTTCTCTCATGGGCAGTCCTCGAAAGAGCTCTCTCAGCCCCACCTTCCTCACAAGGTGTGTGTTGTGGGGAGGGGAAAGGAAAGGAGATTGTGAGCCGCTCTGAGACACCTTTGGGTAGTGAAGGGCAGGGTATAAATCCAACCTATTCTTCTCTTCTCTTTTCACTGACAGCCCCGCCTCAAAAGCCGTCAGTCCATCTCTACAGCTACTGGGAGAGTGAGCAAGGGGCAATGCCCAGCCCAAACATCAATCCAATTCAGCATCTGCAGACAGGACCCACCTGGCCAGAGACGGTGCCTCTTTACAAAGAACCAGCATGCAGGTGGAGCGATGAGCTACAGGTGAGCCCCACTAGCACAAATATGCCATCCTCGGCCACTGGAATATGTCAGTGAGATGCATTTCAAGCTGTTAAAACTGTGCTCAGCGCCCACCTGTAGCAGAACCCCAAAAGTTCTGCAAAGTGGCCTTTAAGAGCACCATTGCAAAGAATACAGTTCCCAGGATTCTTGGTGGAGGTGGGGGGAGAGGAGAGAGACACACACCTGGCAGTTTTAAACCTCTTCACCTCTGTAAGGAAAGTGAACCACCGGTGTGTCAAACGGCAAATACCCTGCCTTTCCCAGTCCGATCTCACCCTCTCATTAGTCTGTTTATTTGTGTTATCTATAGTCCGCTGTCCTTCTTACGTCCTTATTAGATGTGTGGAGAATAAGTCTATCATTGGCTACTAGCCATGGTGACTGAGGGGAAGCTCCATATTCAGAGGTACTAATCCTCAGAATCCCAGAGCCAGGAGGAAGCATCAAGGGAAGGCCTCAGCCTCTCTGCCCTGTTGCTGGCCCTCCAGAGGAACTGGTTGGCCCCTGTGTGAGGCAGGACGCCGGACTACATGGACCTTCACTGGTCTGATCCAGCAGGGCTCTTCTGATGCTCTTATGAAGGCATTGGCCTCTCTGCCCTGTTGTTGGCCCTCCAGAGGAACTGGCTGGCCCCTGCGTGAGACGGGAGGCTGGACTAGAGGGACCCTCCCTGGTCTGACCCAGCAGGGCTCTTCTGGTGTCCTTATCAGGGGAAGGCCTCGGCCTCTCTGCCCTGTTGTTGGCCCTCCAGAGAAAATGGCTGGCCCCTGTGTGAGACGGGAAGCTGGACTAGATGGACCCTCACTGGTCTGATCCAGCAGGGCTCTTCTGGTGTTCTTATCAGGGGAAGGCCTCGGCCTCTATGCCCTGTTGTTGGCCCTCCAGAGAAACTGGCTGGCCACTGTGTGAGACAGGATGCTGAACAAGATGGACCACTGGGGCTGATCTAGCAGGGCTCTTCTGATGATGTTCTTACAGTGACTCCAGGCAGATTACACATAGTGAGTCAGTGCAATCAACAAAATGGTACATTCAATTACCAACGCATTGAGGGTTTTAGAGATCTGGAACCCCCAGAAAGAACTGAAGTACAGCATAAATATTCATGTGAACCATCAGGTAGTAAAGAAATTACATAATAGGGCCCTACTTACAATAAACCAAACACAGCAGGGCAGACCGCGGTCTCCAATCACTTATCCAAGCAAGTTTGCAAAACAGGTTCATACAGTGCCACCCGACTACCTGTGCAGACAAGCCCTCTTGAATAGTTCAGTTTCACATAGCTGCGGAAACGCAGGAGAGTGGGGAACCTTCCTGACTTAAAACAGAAGGGACGTGGCTCAGTGGCAGAGCGTCTGCTTGGTTGCAGAAGGTCCCAGGTTCAATCCCCCGGCATCTTCAATTCAAGGATCGGGGAGTAGGTGATGCGAAAGACCTCCGCCTGAGACCCTGGAGAGCCGCTGCCCGTCTGAGTAGACAATACTGATCTTGATGGACCGAGGGGTCTGACTTAATATAAGGCAGCTTCATGCATGTGACTTCCTCAGGCAGGTCATTCTATAAAGTGGGGGGCCACCGCTAGAAAGGACCTGTATGGGGAGTTGTGAATTTTGCCCATTTGCAGGTTTGAACCTGCAGAAGCCCCTGCTGATGTAAGCGAAGCTGTCGTGGCAGAGCACAGGGGGAGAGGCGCTCCCGCAAATAAGAGGGGGCAGGGCCATGAAAGGCTTTGTACGTGATAGCCAATACCTTCGGAGAGCCAATGCCTTAGGCCAGGGGTGTCAAACATGCGGCCCGGGGGCCAGATCAGACCCCCGGAGGGCTTCCGTCAGGCCCACAGTGGAACTGGCCATCTCCTGCTTCCAGTTCTGCTGCTGCTGCTGCATCATAGCTTGCTTCGCCAGACTCTCTTAATCTCGTGTTTTAACCTGGGTCCTAGACCCAGAACTCTCAGCATGAGATTTCTATGGTGAATGTCAATAAATCAGAATGTATATGAATAACAGTTGAAAGATAAGTTACCTATAGATGTATTATGAAAAAGAGAGGTGTGAAGTGAATATAAGAATTGAGCTGGAGGTTGTAGCACTGCGGGAAGCCGAAAAGGGGGGGGGGAAGAGGAGGAAAGGATGTATAAAGATTTAAGTATTGATATATGTTTAACTTTTTAATATATCCTAATAAATTGTGTTTAAAAAAAAAGAAGTAGGTTCGCAGTTCACAGAGCTGATGTTTTTATTTTAATTTATTTATTTATTTATTTAATTCCACTTATACCCCGCCCTCCCCGGGTACGGGCTCAGTTAAAACAAACCCTTTGTGTCCTTTATAAAGTTTATATCTCCACTACCTGGCATTCCATTTTATGACACGCACGGCCCGGCCCAACAAGGTCTCATTTATGTCAGATCCGGCCCTCGTAACCAAGCAGCTCGACACCCCTGCCTTTGGCTTCCGGCGTCCCCAACTCACCCCCACCAAGTGGAGATTCCAGGCAACCAGACTCAACGGCATTTCGACACCCACGGGAATCAGGTGTGACTCGGGAACAATCTCCACAGCGGGGCAAGAGGCCGGGCCCTGGGGGTCTTCGGTGGGCACCTGGAAGACAAGGAGGGATTCAGCGCAGCTGCTGGTACAGCGCCGTCAGACTAACTGAGATGGGAAGCCGGGTTAATCTGTCTGGAGCAGGAGAAAAGAGCAGGAGTCCAGGAGCAACTGAGAGAGTAACAGAATCTGGGGCAGGGGAGGAGCTTTCGCGAGTCACGGCTCACCTCTTCAGGGAAGCTCAAGGCGAGCAAAGCCATGTTGGCCTGTCTGTAGCAGTAGAAAAGAGCAAGATTCCAGGAGGGCCTCAAAGACCAACAACATTGGTAGCAGGGGAGGAGATTTTGTGAGACACTGGCTCACTTCTTCTGCAGCCCTGTAGCCAGGAGCTTCAGGGGGGGGGGGGGTGGGGGGGACATCCCTCCATGTGGTGATGTCAGTAGTGACGTCACCACGAGTGACTCTCCTACCTCCCTCTCTGTTCAGAGGAGGAGGAGGAGAGCCAAAGAGAAGGAGAAGAGACTGGTTATACCCCACCCACCCTTCGCTACCCGAAGGAGTCTCAGAGCGGCTGGCAAACTCCTTCCCCTTCCCCTCCCCACAACAGACACCCCGTGAGGTAAAAGAAGAAGAAGAAGAAGAGATTGGATTTATACCCCGTCCTTCACTACCCAGAGGAGTCTCAGAGCGGCTGACAAACTCCTTCCCCTTCCCGTCCCCACAACAGACACCCTGTGAGGTAAAAGAAGAAGAAGAAGAAGAGATTGGATTTATCCCCCGCCCTTCACTACCCAAAGGTGTCTCAGAGCGGCTCACAATCTCCTTTCCCTTCCCCTCCTCACAACAGACACCCTGTGAGGTAAAAGAAGAAGAAGAAGAAGAGACTGGATTTATACCCTGCCCTTCACTACCCAAAGGAGTCTCAGAGAAGCTGACAAACTCATTTCCCTTCCCCTCCTCACAACAGGCACCCTGGGAGGTAGGCGGGGCTGAGGGAGCTCTTAAAGTACAGCTTGTGAGAGAACAGCTCTGAGAGGACTTGTGACTGACCCAAGGTCACACCAGCAGCTCCCTGCGGAGGAGTGGGGAGATCAAACCGTGTTCTCCCAGATTAGAATCTGTGCTCCTAACCACCACAACAAACTGGCTCTCAACTCGAGCCACTCAAGCTTCTCTCCCCACCCCCCACCCCGGCCCGGGTCTTCGCCAGCCAATGAGATGGGCCACCTCGGAGTGCCAACATCCCATCTCGCTGGCTGGCAAAGGGTCGGTGGGAGGAAGCTTGTGCCATGGTGGGGCTCTGCCCTCATTGTGGGGAGGCTCCGCCCCTAAAGCCCCAACCCTGTCTACGGCCCTGTTTCTGAAGAAGTGAGTAGCGGCTCTCAAAAGCTCCTCCCCTGCCACACATTTTGTTAGTCTGTCAGGTGCTACGGGACTCTTGCTCTGTTCTGTTGTAGTCAGACTGTTGGACTAGCATCTCTCTGAGGCCTGGGTTCGGATCCCCTCCCGTGCAATGGAAGCCCGCTGGGTGACCACCTTCTCAGGCCCAGCCTACCTCACAGGGTTGTTGTGAGGATCAAACGGAGCCACAGGAGAACGATGTATAAAGGTGAAGTGAGCAAAATAATGCCTTTGGTCTTTCCTTGCCTCTAGTATCACGGTTAGGCGGGAAGGGCTTCCACAGAGTTACTCACCTTCTCGTTGTAGATCGGCCCCTCTCCATTCGGGCAGGGCCCGCCAGAGACACACTGGTGACTGGCTGGACACCAGTGGCACATCCACGGACTGCCAACGCATTTCCCACACCTACGGAAGAAGGAGGAGAAGAAGATTTGCAACTATTTAGTATGTGCTGGGGGGACGGGGGGATGGGCCGGCGTTCTGAGAGATGGTTTGAAAGTTTCGGCAAGGTTTCCAAGGACAGAAACAGAAAAATCAGTAATATTCTGAACGACAAAAAGGCTGGGCCTCAGTCCTTTGCTTAGTTTCCTTAACCTGCCTCATCGCTGGCAGACGGCGCTGCCAACCTCACAGGGTGTCTGCTGTGGGGCGGGTAAAGGAGAAGAGATTGTAAGCCATTCTGAGACTCCTTCCGGTAGCGAAGGGCAGGGGTATAAATCCAATCTCTCCTCCTCCTCCTCCTCTGTGGGGACTCTGCTTTCCCCACATTCTGCTTTTCCCACACACAACCACCTTATGGATGTGCTTCCGGCCCCGTCTGCAACCACCCCACCGTCCCCAAATTTACTCACGGTGTTGCGTCAGCAAGCTGGCTCACTGCGTTGCAGTCGTAGAAGGAGAAGCCTGTGGAAGCCACCACCACGTCCCGGAACATCAAGGCTAAGGCCACGGTCACGTGATCTGAGGAAGGGAAAGAATGGACATACTCACAGAAGGCATCTAGGGTCAGGGAAGTTATTCCAACTACCCATCACGTAAGATGGGTATAAGGATGTAAGAGAAGCCCTGTGGGATCAGGCCAATGGTCCATCCAGTCCAACACTCTGTGACACACAGTGGCCAAAACCCAGATGCCATCAGGAGGTCCAACAGTGGGGCCAGAACTCCAGAAGCCCCCCCCACTGTGGCCCCCCCCCTCAAGCACCAAGAAGACACTGCCCCAGGCATATGAACATAAGAGAAGCCATGTTGGATCAGGCCCATCTAGTTCAACACTCCATGACACACAGTGGTCAAAACCCAGGTGCTATCAGGAAACTCCAGAAGCCCTCCCACTGTTATCCCCCCGGCACCAAGAAAACACAGCATCACTGCCCCAGACAGAGTGCTCCATCTATACCTTGTGGCTAAGAGCCACTGATGGACCTCTGCTCCAGATGTTTCTCCAATCCCCTCCTGAAGATGTCTATGCCTGTAGCTACCATGGCTTCCTGTAGCAGTGAATTCCATGTCTTAATTACTTTTTTGGGGGAAGAAGTACTTCCTTTGACCTGTTCTGAGCCTACCACTCATTAATTTCATGGAGTGCCAATGAGTTCTAGTACTGTGAGAAACGGAGAGAGAAACGGGCATGCAGGCCGAGGCCTTCCCCTGAGAAGAACATCAGAACAGCCCTGCTGGGTCAGACCAGTGGTCCATCTAGCCCAGCATCCCGTCTCACACAGTGGACAACCAGTCCCTCTGGAGATCCAACAAAAGGGCAGAGAGGCCAAGGCCTTCCCCTGATAAGAACATAAAAGAAGACCCCTGCTGGATCAGACCAGTGAGGGTCCCTCCAGCCTAGCCTCCCGTCTCACACAGTGGCCAGTCAGTTCCTCTGGAGAGCCAACAACAGGGCAGAGAGGCCGAGGCCACCCACTGATAAGAAATCAGGCGAGCCCTGCTGGATCAGACCAGTGAGGGTCCCTCTAGTCCAGCCTCCCGTCTCACACAGAGGTCAGCCAGTCCCTCTGGAGGGCCAGCAACAGGGCAGGGAGGCCGAGGCCTTCCCCTGAGAAGAGCATCAGAAGAGCCCTGCTGGGTCAGACCAGGGAGGGTCCCTCCAGTCCAGCCTCCTGTCTCACACAGGGGCCAGCCAGTCCCTCTGGAGGGCCAGCAACAGGGCAGGGAGGCCGAGGCCTTCCCCTGAGAAGAGCATCAGAAGAGCCCTGCTGGGTCAGACCAGGGAGGGTCCCTCCAGTCCAGCCTCCTGTCTCACACAGGGGCCAGCCAGTCCCTCTGGAGGGCCAGCAACAGGGCAGGGAGGCCGAGGCCTTCCCCTGAGAAGAGCATCAGAAGAGCCCTGCTGGGTCAGACCAGGGAGGGTCCCTCCAGTCCAGCCTCCTGTCTCACACAGGGGCCAGCCAGTCCCTCTGGAGGGCCAGCAACAGGGCAGGGAGGCCGAGGCCTTCCCCTGAGGTTGGCTCCTGGCTCTGGGATTCAGAGGTTCAGTGCATCTTCCCACATCAATTCTTTTCTGAGGGAAACCATTTTCAGGGTGTCTCTGGGCAAGCCATGGAGCCAGCTTCTGAACCGCCATCTTCTGAACCAGCCTCCGCCGCCACACCTTCCGATGCAGCCATTAACCACGCAGCCACGTTCTCCGCGCTCTCTCCGTGGTATGAAATGACCACCTGCACGTGGCTGTGGGTCCAGCCACTAGTAAAAGGCTTCAGTAGGGACAGGTTGTGGGAAGTACTTTGTATCAACTCATCAAGTGGAGCGTCAAGGGTGCAACAGTGCACGTGCGTCGCCTGGGCTCACCTTTGCCCTCTTGGGTGGGCGGCACCTGCGCGGGAACCGGCGAGAGGCAGCGCACCCAGGAGCCTTCGAGCTCGGCGGGGCTGTCTTGGGTCCCAAAGGCACAGTCGTAGTTCTCCCCCTCGGCCAAGGCGGGGAGTTCGGGAACCAGCATGGAGACCTGGGCAGGGCGAGAGGCACATATTTTACCCGGAATGCTGAGCGATTGGTTTTTCTGCTTCTAACGCCGCTCCGTATTTTAAAGAAAAGGGCGACAGGAAACGCAGGGCTATTAGCTGAGCAGCCAAAGGATTTTACAGATCTTGAACGAACCGTGCAGGCACCTCCGATGAGGGGCAGAGTGGTGTAGGGATTAAGACTGGCGGGCTCTAATCTGGAGCGCCGGGTTTGATTCCCCACTCCTCCTCCCTGCAAAGCCTGCTGGGGGACCTTGGGCCAGTCACGGTTCTCTCCGAACTCTCTCGGCCCCACCTACGTCACAAGGTGCCTGTTGTGGGCAGGGGAAGGGAAGGTGAATGTAAGCTGTGTTGAGACTCCTTCGGGTAGAGAAAAGTGGAGTATAGAAACCAACTCTTCTTCTTCTCAGGTTTAACTGGGAGCCAAGATGGGGTGGGAATCAATCTTGGCAGAGAGCAGGGAACATGAAGAAGAAGAGGAGGAGCAGGAGGAGGAGGAGGGGGAGGAGGAGGAGGAGAGATGATTGGATTTATAAGCTGCATTGAGACTCCTTTGGGTAGAGAAAAGTGGAGTATAAAAACCAACTCTTCTTCTTCTCAGGTTTAACTGGGAGCCAAGATGGGGTGGGAATCAATCTTGGCAGAGAGCAGGGAACATGAAGAAGAAGAGGAGGAGCAGGAGGAGGAGGAGGGGGAGGAGGAGGAGGAGAGATGATTGGATTTATAAGCTGCATTGAGACTCCTTTGGGTAGAGAAAAGTGGAGTATAAAAACCAACTCTTCTTCTTCTCAGGTTTAACTGGGAGCCAAGATGGGGTGGGAATCAATCTTGGCAGAGAGCAGGGAACATGAAGAAGAAGAGGAGGAGCAGGAGGAGGAGGAGGGGGAGGAGGAGGAGGAGAGATGATTGGATTTATAAGCTGCATTGAGACTCCTTTGGGTAGAGAAAAGTGGAGTATAAAAACCAACTCTTCTTCTTCTCAAGTTTAATTGGGAGCCAAGATGGGGTGGGAATCTATCTTGGCAGAGAGCAGGGAGGAAGACGAAGAAGGAGGAGGAGGAGGAGAGATGATTGGATTTATAAGCTGCGTTGAGACTCCTTAAGGTAGAGAAAAGTGGAGAAGAAGAAGACGACGACAATGAGGAGGAGGGACTTATACCCCGCCCTTCACTACCTGAATGAGTCTCAGAGCGTCTTACCATCTTCCCCTTCCCACAACAGACACCCTGTGAGGTAGGCTGGGCGGAGAGAGCTCTTTCGAGAACTGCTCGTGAGAGAACAGCTCTGAAAGAACTGTGACTGACCCAAGGTCACCCAGCAGCAGCATGTGGAGGAGTGGGGAATCAAACCCGGCTCTCCAGATTAGAGTCCGCGCTCCTAACTACGACACCAAACTGGATATCTAGATACTCTTGCCTGTGTTTGTTGCCACTGGATGAGAACTTGCTTACATACAGCTTGCAGGGTGGGGAGGGGATATCCTTGCAGCAAACACAAGTGACACGGAGTGGCTTCATTACATGCATTCCAAAGAGGGTGAACAGGTGCATTAGCGCCAAGCTGGAAGAACAGTCCCGAACACTCCACCTGCCTCACCCACCTCTGTCCGTTCTTCTCTACTCTGATTGGCCGGGGACATCTGTTCCACTTGCAGACACTGGCTGTCAGCCCCGTAGCTCCAGAGCCAGTGATTGGGTACCTCGTGGCGCTCACATTCCAACTTGCGGGTGCACCTGCCAATCAACCAGTTGTATTAGAGCGGGGTATGGGGGGGGGAAGCACGTACCGTCTTAAAAATGCAAAACTTGACATTCTACTAGTCCTTAGTGAAGACCAACCTGCTCTGCAGGACGCACCAACCGCAGAAAGGGTCTTGGGCACGCAGACACGAGTCGCAGTCCTGGAAGTTGGGGCATTCGGAAACTGGGACTTTGGAGACCTGTGTCGGAAAGAGAATCGTCAATAGGTGGTTTAAATTCTGCACAAGCACTGGACATGTAATTTGCACTAGTCTCCTTGGCACAAATTCCAGGCTTTTTACGGAGAAGAGCTTTGCGGTGGCTGGGAAACTTTATAAATAAGGGATGAATGAGACGGCCTCAAGGAAAACTGGAGCGGGCTTCGATTTGGGGGGTTTCAGTCAGTGTTCCCCCTAAGGTGAGTTAGTGTGAGCCAACTCACAGTTTTTTAGCCTCCTGCTCACACATTTTTGTCTTAGCTCAGGAAGGATGGCTCCGGAGCAAACTAATGTATGCAGTAGCCAAACTGCTCGCTCACGACTTTAATGCCGGGAGCTCACAAAGTAGAATTCTTGCTCACAAGACTCCACAGCTTAGAGGGAGCATTGACCTCAGTGTGGAGCAGGCCCTACACTTGCGGATGGATGATTCTGCTGCTCCAAACGCAAGGGAGTCAAGCTCTTTCGCAGCAAGAAAAGGCAAATCGCTCTCCCCTGCCGTCTTGAATTGGTCTTTAAGTGTAAAGTTTAAATGCCTCACAGAGGATGTGGGCTTCCTACTCCGCCAACCGAAAACTCACTTCATGCAGCTGGAGAAGTGGACTCCGGCCCATAGAAGCCTATGCCAGTGTTCCCTCTAAGCTGCGTTAGTGTGAGCTAGCCCAGAGTTTTTTAGCCTCCAGCTCACAGATTTTTGCCTTTGCTCAGGAAGGGATGGCTCCAGAGCAAACTGATTGATGCAGCAGCCAAGTCGCTCGCTCACAACTTGAATGCCAGTCGCTCACAAAGTAGAATTTTTGCTCACGAGACTCCACAGCTTAGAGGGAACACCAACCACATATCTGTTATTCTTTAAAGGCACCACAAAGCTCCTGGTTCAGTTGTGCTCTGTGTGCGTGTGTAGGGGTCATTTCGTAGAAAAAGAGGTGCAGGAGCTCATTCGCATAACTCATTACCATAACCTATTTGCCTATGCCACACCCCCTGACATCACCAGAAGTGTGTCAGAAGGCAACACCCTCCGCTCAGGCTCCACTGGACTGTTTTGGATTGCTAGCTATTGGGGGGGGGGGACGTGCAGATCTGTCATCACAGAGGAGGGAGAGCTTGTACCGGAATAAAACTTGGTCTTAAGGGTGCCACTGGACTGTTTTGGGCCGGGAGGGGCTCTGCAGCTTACCTGGCTGCTTCTTGCTCTGACTGAGGGCTGCTGGGAGCAGGGGGTGGGGCTTGTTGCATGTGCCCGCCCCCTGGGCTCTTTACTGCCGGAGCTCTGCTCCTGTGCGCTCCTGCAGGAAATGACCTGCAGGAAATGACCCCTGTGTGTGTGTGTGTCTAAGCTGACTAACGGTGACCCCAGCAAGGGGCTTTCCAGGCAAGCGAGAAGCAGAAGTGGGTTGCCTATGGCCTTCCTCTGCAGAGTCTTCCTTGACGGTCTCCCCTCCAAGTACCAACCCTGCTTAGCTTCCAACTTATCGAGATCCCAGCAAGGGGCTTTCAAGGGTAGAGATGAACAGCAGTGGTCTGCCATTGCCTTCCTCTGCATAGCCTCCCTTGGTGGCCTCCTGCCCAAGTCCCGACCCCTCTTAGCTTCCAACTTAAAGTGACCCCAGCAAGGGACTTTCAGGGGAAGTGAGAAGCAGAGGCGGTTTGCCATGGCCTTCCTCTGCAAAGAGGTGGTTCCTCATCCAAGAACTGACTCAGCTCAGCGTCCAACTTCTGGCAATCTCACTAATGGGCTTTCAAGGCAAGTGAAAAGGACCCTGCTTAGCTTCCAGGAGCTGATGACGCTGGGCTACACCACGCCACCTTCCCTCGCCAGTTCTGCTACACACACACCCCAAAAAGACCGTGGGGAATTTCACATTACCCAGTTTCACCCGGTTTCAAGCCGGTAATCTTCCGTTTTGAAGTGAACCGGTACAGGGCTGCCATTTCACACATGGCTTGCCCCTACCGGAAATGAGCCGGATCAGAAGCGGTTTGGCATTACAGACTTGCACCACTTTGTTTTCCCGCCGTTTTCTTCCCGCACGGGTGATCGATTTTTTTTAAAGTTTGATTTATAGCGTTATAGCGATATAACGCTATACCGGAACTCCAAACGATCGCAATAGCGATCCCATTGGAGTTTGAAGTTCCGGTATAGCGTTATAGCGATATAACGCTATAAATCAAATGTTCAAAAAAAAAAACCCGCGCGGGCAAAAAACGGCGGGGAAAAAGCTTAAAAGAACCCGGAGAGGGAACCCGCGCGGGCGAAAAACGGCGGGAAAAAAGCGTAGCAGAACCAGGAGAGGGAACGGAAGACTACTCGGAAGCGGTTGACAGGTAAAACGCTTCAGTCCCGGTTCCTAAACGGGACAGAAGCTTTTGTGTATGAAATGGCAGTTACATTCCGGTAGGGAACCGATTCTCGAACGGGTTCTGTCTGAAATGACAGACCAGAACCCGTTTGAGAACCGGTTCCCTACCGGGAGATATCGCCTGTCTGAAATTCCCCCATGTCACAGTCATCTCCATTGAAACCAGATTTGGGGCAGAATTTCTTAAGAAGCACTGTTTCAGAAAATAAAGCGTGGGGCGGGGGGCACAGCTCCGAGCCCCCGCGACTCACCTGTGAGGCCGTCATCACATACAGGTGGGCCCCACTTCCGTCTAGCAGCAGGTCTGGATTGACTGGGGAACGCTGGCCGGTGAACACCGTGCTGTAGACCTGAGCCGTGGACCCGTTCAGGTACACCTAAATAGATTAAGCAAACTATCACTGCCAGCAACGAAGATGTTTTAGGGCAGAGGCTCCAACCTTTTGGAACCCGTGGGCACCTTTGGCATTCTGACACAGCATGGTGGGCGCAGGCACAAAATGGCTGCCTTGGGAGGCGGAGCCAGCCACAAAATGGCTGCCACGGCTTACCTTCAAGTCGCCCAGTGAAGATCCTTGTGCCGTGGTGGCAGCTGATGCCAAAGCAACATTTGAAAAAAAATCTGCAGAGTCAAGCAAATCTCCAATGGCCAATCAAAAGCCTTGCTGGGCAAAAGCCCCACCTAGCCCCGCCCGCTTTCTAAAAACACTAGGTGGACACCAGGAAGAAGACGAAGGAGGAGGAGGAGGAGGAAGACGAGGAAGAGGGGAAGGAGACTGGATTCATACCCCGCCCTTCACTACCCGAACGAGTCTCAGAGCCGCTTACAATCTCCTTTCCCTTCCCCTCCCCGCAACAGACACCCCGTGAGGCAGGTGGGGCTGAGAGAGCTCTTTTGAGGACTGCTTGTGAGAGAACAGCTCTGAGAGAACTTGTGACTGACCCAAGGTCACACCAGCAGCTGCATGTGGAAGAGTGGGGAATCAAACCCCCAGATTAGAGTCTGCGCTCCTAACCACTACACCAAAATGGCAACACCATGGCACCCACAGGAACCAAGTTGGGGACCCCCAGTTTAGGGCATGTATCATCAGAAAGGTCCTTTAAACGTGAAAGCCGCTAAAAACTGTCATCGTGGCCAGACAGGCGTGTTTACATACTTCCTCCTCCTTAACACCCATTGCCAGTCACTGTTGGAAAAATAGGACACTACTCTGGATTAAGCCTGTTCATCCTCTGGAAGCAGAGCAACGTTAAGAGGAACACAAAGTTGCCTTCAACAAAAGCAGCCCTGTCTCAATAATTACACAAGGCCTTGACACTTGGCTGCCATGTGTGCAATTTTTTGTCTGTTCTCAGTTGGTCCAGATTCCATTCAGAAAGTATTTGTTCAATTACAACATTTTAACCCACCCTTTTCTAACAAAAGGCTCCACAGATTCCAAACGTCGAAAGAAAGGGACGCTAAGAAGGTGTGGTAACTGCAATTCTCCGGGACTACAACGCTCTGGTAAAATAAGACAATAATCCTTAGACAGCGAAAGGGATTGTCTTTCGATACAAAAACCATCTGGCAACCTTAGACCAAAGGCGATCCCAAAAGCTTCCCTTGAAAATTAATTTATGTAAATCAATTTATGCACGGGACTGAGGCGACACTATTTGGTTCTTCTGTTAGCGCGAGGCGTTTTAAGTGCCTGAGGCAGAAGACACAAACGGCGCCATCTCTGGGTGGGACGGAAATAGGGTGAGGTAAATCATTGACAGTCGGTGGCCTTTAATGACACCCCAAAAACCTGATACTTGAGGGCAGCTGCCTCTCAGTCAAAAAGCAGGACTGGGTCTACTAGCAGCATAGGGAAGACAACAAGAAGAATGGGACCCAAAAGCCGCACCCCTCAAACATTTGTGGGCCCCATCCACATATTTTTTTAAAGAGTACACGTGACACGTGCACCACAGAAACACATGGGTAGCCATGTTGGTCTGAAGCAGCAGAACGAAGTTTGAGTTCACTGGCACCTTTAAGGCCAACAAAGGTTTATTCTGGGCACAAGCCTTCGCGCGCATGCGCACTTCTTCAGATCTGAAGAAGCGTGCATGCGCACGAAAGCTTATACCCAGAATAAACCTCTGTTGGTCTTAAAGGTGCCAGTAAACTCAAACTTTGGTCTACCGCAGAAACACCGAGAGCACTAACCAGATAGCCATGAGAGGAAGAGTGCTTAAAATCTGAATAGTACTCCCTAAACAACTCATACAAAATTCCATATAGAATCAAATCATACGCTGGATAAGCCAATGTGGTGTAGTGGTTACAGTTTCTGACTAAGATCTGAGAGACCCAGTTTTGAATCCTTAACTCTGCCATGGAAGGCTGCTGGATGACGATGGGCCAGGCACATCTAATCACCCTAATTTACCTCACAGGATTGTTGTGAGGATAAAATTGAGAAGAGCAGAACAATGAAAACCATTTTGGGTCCCCGCTGGGAGGAAAATCGAGGAATAAATGAATAGGGATGCCAGCCTCCAGGTGGGACCTGGGGATCCCCTGAAATTCCAGCTCATCTCCAGACTACAGAGATCAGTTTCCCCTGGAGAAAATGGCTGCTTTGGAGGGTAGACTCTGTGGACTCTGGGGACCCCCAGAATTACAGCTCATCTCCAGACTACAGAGATCAGTTCCCCAGGATAAAATGGCTGTTTTGGAGGGCGGTCTCTGTGGCCTTGTAACCCACTGAGGTCCATGGATGCCAGCCTCCAGGTGGGGCCTGGAGATTCCCTGGAATTCCAGCTCATCTCCAAATTACAGCGATCAGTTCCCCTGGAGAAAATGGCTGCTTTGGAGGGTGGACTCTGTGGCCTTGTACCCCACTGAGTTCCCTATCCTCCTCAGGCTCCAGCCCCAAATCTCCAGAAGCTTTCCAACCTGGACCAGGCAACCCTATACACCATATATAGAAACGCCCTCTCCCCGTCGCAAATATTTATTTATTTATTTATTTATTTACAGGTGACTTATATACCGCTCATAACCCCTAGCGGGTCTCAGAGCGGTTTACAATGTGCTACTATATAGTAGCCACTATATATCCCTGTAAGCCATACAATGGTGAATACCAAATATCCCCCACAGTTTTAGAACAACGCCAACAACTCTGGAATAAGCAGACAGACGTTCTAGAGCAAACAAACAGCGTGTTACATGGACGTGATCGTGGAACGCCCACTAAAAAGCCAACGTGTTTGGAAATGTGGCTCTAAAGGTGGCTCGATATGAAAAAATATAGATACAGATGTGTGCTAAATGCCCATAGACCAATACAATACTCAAAGAGACAAGCTTAAAGCCATAATATCATTTAGTGTCATCAGGTAATACAAAGAACAACCAGTCATTCCTTCACAGAAAAAATACAAAGGCCAATAACATTTCACATAGCAGTTTGCTCCAGACTCTCAAAATGAGGCATAGTTTGGGTCCATTTAACTTCGGCAGCAGCACTAGCATGTTTTGAAATACGTGAGGAGACCTTGCCCGAGTAGATTAAGAGAAAAGTAAATTAATGAAAGTGTCAACTTAAAATGTAAGATTCCTATATAGGATTTGTTCCTGAGGAAAGACCAGAGGTCTGAAACACTTAATATCCGGAATAAGTGTTGACTGATTGAATTTGGAGCAGACTGCCTTTGAAACTACAAGACTGTTAGAGGGATATAGACTTTGAGAGTCTGGAGCAGACTGCTATGTGAAATGTTACTGGCCTTTGGATTTTTTCTGTGAAGGAATAACTGGTTGTTCTTTATATTATCTGACACTAAATGGCATTATGGCTTTAAGCTTGTCTCTTTGATTATTGTATTGGTCTATGGGCATTTAGCACACATCTGTATACATATTTTTTCATATCACACTGTTTTGGGATTGTGTGTTATTTTTGTGGATTGTCTAAAGATGGCTCCACAGCAGACAAAGGCGGGCAAATGCTGGAGACTGTTCACTTCTCTACACCCCCTTTCTTCCTCACCTTGACCATCTCCATTTGTCCCAGTTAAATACGGTACCAGACCCCCTGGGTGGAAGGCATACGAACAAGGACAGGTGTGACAGCTGTTCTCGCACAGGCACCCAACCAATGGTGTGGGTTTTCCAAGAAAATCTGAACTGGAAAATTTTCCCATTCAAATTTAAATGGCTAGATTTGAGTGGATTGGGAATGGCGGCCACGAAGGAGAGAGAAAAGATCCTAAAGTGTGAGGATGCGTCGCTGGCAACCGTATTCGAGATAATTCATACCACAGTAATCCCCGCTACCATGTGTGGATGTGAAAGTTGAACAGTGAAGAAAGCTGACAGGAAAAAAGTTGATTCACATGAAATGCGGCATCG